ACAAATGTGCTTTACACAATTAATGTATGGATTGTGATGAGTTGTATGAGCCCCAATAAAATGATTTTTTTAAAAAACTGTAAGAACCCCCAATAAAATGATTATGAATAAATAAAAGATCTCATGAATACAATCAAACAACAAAAGAAAGTTCTGCATTATAATATATTATATTGGCAAAAGACCAAAGAGATTTTCATTAAAATATTTTAACATGTATACTAAGATCCTGGTGACAGACTAAATTTGAGGGCTGGAAGATATTCTAAAAGTCATCTAGTCCAAATGTTTTCTCAACCACAGGCTGGGAAGCACAGTGTGCTATGTCAGGGGTGCGCTTGTGTGTACATGCACATGCGCCTACATACCTGTTGAAGGGTGTTCACACTGCAGCTGAAGGAGGACAGCATGTGCTCTAGATAAATGTGTGCCTATGTGCACTAGCGCTTCATTCGTCACAGCCCCGAACAACACAAATGTTCATCGATAGGAGAGCAATTAAGTCAAAAGTGGTACATTCATACAATTAAATACGAGTAGCCCAGTACCTTAAGGCTGTTTTGATAAATATTTAAAATGTCTTTTATAATTTGATTCTAGGGGAACTCAGTTGGAGATGCTCTTTAGTGATGTGAAAAACTTCTTTGCAATACAGGCCATCCTTGATTCAACTGGTTATTTAAACATACATTTCTACCACTGATTTTTTTTAACTTATATTTCTGAAGTGGCAATGCGTTGACTTGGTCCCAAATTCAATACTGTTTGCAATAAAGTCCCCCATCACACTCCACCCCACAGTCCCTCTTTCTACAAGGGACCACTGACACTGCTTTTTCTTTTTCAAAGAATGCTTATGCATGTCGAAGCAAATGCTTTCACGTGTATAGATTCTTTTTTTTTTTTCATTTTTAATGTTAGCCTATACTATATAGACGATTGTGTACTTTTGAACTTTAATAGTGTATCTCAGAGATGTCTCCATACCGGTGTATTCTCTTTTTGTCATTGTTGTATTATATAGTAGTCACTGGACAGCCAAAATTCTGAAAGGTTTAAGATACTGATATACTTCAGCTCATTTCATTATTTATAACTTTTCTAAAAATCCCTCTGCTGTTTATTTAGCATTTCATTTTCTAGAAATGTGATCATGGAAGGCTTTATTGAATGCAAATGAAAAATCTGTTTGCCTACTTCCCTTGAAGAAAAAAGTGAAAAACAAATTTGTCTGGGAGAAAATCACCTTATTTCTTTGGAAAGAAGTAAAATGACATAGGAAGGGAATGCCAACGAATGGCTCAACAACGTTTCCTGTGCTTACCAAACTGCATTTTCTCTAAAGTCTCTTCTATGAAGAGACTTTCACCAACCTTACAATGAATCCTTTAAAATATCATTAAAATAATATCATGGAACTTGAATACTAAATCCAAATGTTTATATAGAAAAGATCCATACATTCCTCAATAAAATGTTAATACTTACGATTGAATGGTGACACATATTTATCACCAACTGTAATATATCCCATCTCACTGAAGAGACCAATCCTCTCCATATCAGATTTCCCTTCTCCAGGCATGGCTGCTTCTGGTGGTGGTATCCTCTGTCTCAGTAACTTCAGAAGCTTCCCGAGGGCTGCTACTTTTATGACAAAATCTTATTCCTCATTGAGAAACACTGGGGTGGAAAAAGTTTCAGATCAAAGTGATTAGCAAATTTTATTCAAAATTAGTTTCAGTGTGAGTGCTTTTCATGTTCACTATTAGACACTAAGAGCCCTGGTCGTGTCGCTGGTTATGTATCAGGCTGCTCACCCAAAGCTAAGCAGGTCAAACCCGCCACGATGGGAGAGATGATGCTTTCTGCTCAGGAAGGCTTTACAGCCTAGGAAACCCACAGGGTAGTTCCACTCTGGGTCCTCTGGGGCTGCCACGAGTCAGAACTGATTAAATGGCAGTGGGTTTGGGATTTTTAAAAAATTAATCCACGGTCCCAAACTACAAAGGGAAAGACTGTATTGAGTGAGGCTGCGGAAGATATCAAACAGGATCACATTTATCACCACGAACCCATCCTTTAAATCTTAGGTTAAAGGGCCCCCAAATCACACCTATTTCTGTGACGTCATTCATCTTTTGAAATGATAAAATTACGACTAAATACTATATCTGTTACACAAAAATCTTTCTTTTGAGGTCAAGTTATATTTCAAAATCCAGATTCCTTAAGCCATACATTTTTCCAGTTGAAATATGAACATAACATTGTCCCTCAGAGTGAAAAGCATTTCATTCGAATTTAGCTTTTCAGGACACATAACATAATACAGGTATTGCCATACAGTCAAGTTTTTTTCCTGAACTTAATTGAATACAAGAAAGGTGCAAAACTAGTTTATAAGGGAATGGAGGGCCAGAAAAATTGTTTAGATACAAGATAATACCAAGAATAGCAAACCAGAAAAAAACAAAACAAGCAAACGCATAATGAAGTAAGAGTATTTGTTAAAAGGCAGGGGTCTTAAAGGCTTGAAGGTAATCAAGCGGCCATCAAGCTCAGAAGCAACAAAGCCCACAGAAGCACACCAGCCTATGCAACCACGAGGTGTCGAAGGGATCAGGTGTAAGGCATCATCAGAACAAAAAATCTTACCATAGTGAATGATGG